TTATTAAAAAATATTAATTATATTATATTTAAATCATATTATAATAAAAATTTATTATTAATATATATTATATTTATTTTAGTAATTAATAAGATTTTTAAATTTAATAAGTTTTGAAATTAGATATATAGTTAGTATATAAAGTAATAGTGAATATGTTTTTAATATATAACTTAATAAGAAATTACTAAAAATTTATAAAAATTTGATATTATATTTTTTAAAATAATAGAAATAAAATTTTTTAAGATTATAAAACATGTTAATATAGTAATATTTTATAAAATCATATACAAAAAACAAAGAGCTATAGGATTATTTTGATTAAAGTGCTATAAAATTATTTAAAAATATTTTTATAAGTAAATATAAAAATAATTTTATAAAAATATATTTAAAGATATAGAAAATATATTTATAATTTAAAAAAACTTTTAGTTAATATTTATTAAATAAATACTAGTTAAAAAAAGACTTAATTTTGATAAATTTCATAATAAAATATAGTAAAATATAGTAAAATATAATAAAAATTTTATTTTTATTATATTTTATTATAAAATTTATCAAAATTAAGCCTTTTTATAACTGGTATTTATTCAATAAATATTAACTAAAAAATTTTTTTAAATTATAAATATATTTTTTATATCTTTAAATATATTTTTATAAAATTATTTTCATACTTGCTTATAAAAAATATTTTTAAATAATTTTTTATAGCACTTTAACCAGGATAATTCTCTAGTCTGCCACCTTTAGTACATAATTTTACAAAATATTATTATATTAATACACTTTGTAATCTTAAAAAATTTTATTTTTATTATTTTAAAGAATATAATGCCAAATTTTTAGCAATTTCTTATTAAGTTATAGGCGAAAAATATGTCTATCATTACTTTTCATGCTGATTGTAAAAATAAATTTCTAATATATTATATCTATTTTTTATATTAAATAATTTTTTAAAGATAATATTACTTATCTTTAAATTATAATATTATAATATTTTTTTATATTATTTTAATATTTAAAAAAAAGTTAAAGAATTATAATTAATAATATAAAGTATAATATAAAAATTAATATTAAAAAATATTAATAAAAAATATGAGAATTATTAAAAAAAATTAATAAAAGTATAATTATAAATAAAGATAATAATAATAAATTTTTCATATAAATTTTCAATAAAATAATAATTTAATAAAATTCAAAAATATAAATATAAATAGTATGAAATTAATAAAAATATTTTATTTATAAAAAATCTGATAATCAAACTTTTAGTCAATTAAAAATAATTAACTAATTAAATAAGAGTAATCTCTTATTTATTAAAATTATCTAATAAATATTTATATTCTAATTATTTGAATTATTAAAATTAAATTAATCTATAATAAATACAAGTTATTTATTTTTTAAAAATTTAAATTAAAATCGTGTTAATATATTTTTAATTAAGTTTAAAATCTCTTTTGGATTATTAAAATTATCTTTAATATATAATAAAAACCAAAAAATCTAAAATATATTTAAGTAAATCAAATTAAATATCACATCTCTATTATTATTCAATTTTGCTTTTCTGAGAGTAATAATTATAAAGAAATTTAATTATAATAATATCTTATTATACACAAATAAAGAATATTTATTAACAAATTGAATATTACATGTATATGTATGTTTATAATATGTTTGCAATGCTCGTTTTTAACTAGTAATAAACAAAAAATTTTAAAATTGAAATACTCATCGCTTTGTTATCTATCAATCGTTTCCATTAAACTAGCTCTCGTATAGTGAAAACTATCCGATTATTGGTGAAAATTTACTATATACCTAGAGGAATTATTATAGGCTGTTTTCGAACTCAACTTCATTATATCGAGAATTTAATTATGTAAATGATTTATGCATCTTAATAAAATTAGAATAATGCACCATCATCATTTAAATTAAAAAAATCAAGTCGAATATTTATATTAAAAATAATCATCTTAACAGTTTTGTTTGTTCTAAAAAGAAAATAACAAATCTATTTATAATAAAGTTGTGAAAAACATCTAAACATGAAATGAGTTTTATATTTTTGAGTTTTAATTTATCTAATTAAAGTATCTAATTAAGGTAGCAAAGAAAACTCAGCCAGATAAGAAAATGGCCATTGTATAAAATTTTGTGTTCGAAGTTTCAAAACCAGACAAGGGTCTTTCTATTTTAAACTCATTACATTACGTCAAGCAACTATTTATATAGACCCCTGTATGACTGTATGATTGTATGATGCATTCAATACAAAGTGTGTTCTCTACAGTCATACATGTACATATTGATGTTCCCGACCGGGATTAAATTCCGGGATCAAAGAAAATTCCGATCAACAACGTTTAATTCCCAACGTGACAACAAATAAATCACATCTAATCGAACATATAAAAAAATTGAAGTGATAAAATATTTGTAATAAATTCACCAATTATAACGGAAATATCTCTCCGAGCCAATTTTCCATTCCTTCAATGACAGAAACGATAGATCTTTAGAATCTTCACAAAAGGCTTATATTATAGGCAAGTTCATAGCAAAACAATAAGGTCCTTTGTGAACTAAACATTGGGGATCTATTAAGTCAAAGTCCGTCGTCGGACTACTTTCGGTAAGAATTAATTAAGACATTTATATGAATCTTATTTAAACAATGAATTTTGGACTTTCAATAACATCTTTATATTAAATTGTTTGTTTATTCTTTCATTGATTATTTCCACTATCGAATTGACTTTCCAATTATAATAAAACAATTATTTCGAGTAAATCTCCGTCACAGTAAACATGGATACGCGTTTTATTCATTCTTCTGCATGATGTAATAAAAGGATATTACATAAAGAATGATGGTCCACGCGAAACGCGTAAAAATCATATATCTCAAGATAATCTCCGATTTTCCTCTCTTAACAAATACAAGAAAGCCGTTTCACAATTTCATTTTTACAAAAAAAAACAATAGCTTATATACAATATGCCTGTTTCGCTATAACAATAAACATTAACATAAAATATTTACAATAAACTATAATAATCGCATTAATAAATAACATTAAACAACTATTAGTTATACAATGTATTTACCCCACAAAAACCAATTTTGACAACTGTCAATAACATAATATATATATTCAAACGAGGTTAAATTGGTATACTAAAGGAATTGCGCATATATAATAAGTAATACGTCATTACAGTATTGTATAAGCATAATATATACTAGTCCATCTATCTATTAACAGAAACCATTAAAGGAATTCATTATTAAACTTCTCGAAAAAAAAACGGTTTTAACCAAAGAAATTTTAGAAACGCGTGATTTTTTATGTAAACATAACGGATAACTTTGCAATATGGCTACTCATTTGTGATATGAATTCTTTAACAATGTGATTTCTCAATTCAATAAAAACAAAAGATTTCTATGCATACGGAACAAGCCCATCCTCGCCACACTAATGATAATATGACATGCACGACATGTTAAAAATAATGATGATGATGTTATGTTTACGCAAGGTCAAAAATCTAACAACTCCGCGAACCAATCAAATTGCACATCACAAAAATAACCATCGTTTACACTTGCCACAGCGTGGCCAATTTTTTAGCTTTTGGATTTATGTAACCATATTTATTTTTTTAAGTGTAATGAGATTTCAGAAGTTGATGCAATTAGTTAAACCTTCTTTGGTAACGATGATAGATAATTATAATTTCACAAAAATATTTGCCACACGTTAGGTTAATGCCACGCTTTCGCGTAAGAAAAAAACAAAAAGCCACGATCTTGTTGAGAGACCATTGGTCTTTCGGGAAAGAATTCTGGATTTGCTAGCTATTTGACATATTTGATTGATCGGATGTCTTGTTACCGCTTCTTTCATCCAATTACAACATATAGAAAAAATCCAATTGGTGGAATGAAGTCTACAATAACGATTATAAGACAGCACATTTTATTATTCCTTTTTAATTTAATTATGCCATTAATTGAATCTCAAAAACAGCAACAATTTGAAATTCCGATAAAAAATTCACATTCACATATGCATCATATCGAGAACAATAATAACAACCCACGGGTTTTCATTAGTCAAGAATTCCGTCTGATTATTATAACAACCTATAATAATAATACGATTCCGGAGAGAAAATTTCATATTAATCCACCACAACCGGAGTTTTGACCGGAATTTACCGCAAAATATTTTCGTCTTGAAGAGATGTATGGGTTAGTGTTGGAAGTAACGATGGATGGATAGACGAGATAGAACCTGAATAATTGTTTATTTACGCGGAGAAAAGAAGACACACAGATCATGAGCGGAAGAAGGGATGACGGGGGCGGAGTGTGAGTATTGTATTATTAATATAAAATATATTGATATACCGGAGTGTAGATTCCATACTCTTAGACATTTGAGGCAGTAATGTTTGCTGATGTTTTTTGTGCTAACGTGATATGAAAATTCACACACACACACAGATGATTGATAATTTGATATTTTAAGTATTCACTAACACAAAGAATAAAAGAATTCTATTGTATCACTTTTTTTATATATTTACTCTAAGACTTCTCTATATACATGATATATATAATATTTTAATATATATATATATACATCCCCAAAGAAGCATAAGGGGAGGCTGCTGCATACATTTCACCACATAACTCCACATACGAAAATTAAAATTTGTCACTAATTCGGCTTATGAAATTTGTTATAAAACTGAAACACTTGACCATCAGTAACAACACATAAAGAGACTGAAAAAAAAGCAAAAAATAAATATAACTATTATTAAATAAATATAATAGTAGTGTAAAAAAAACCACCACCACCACCACCACCACCACCACTATAAACTGTATTTTTTGCTTTATCAAGTCACTATCATATCTGTTATATTTCTAGTAAATACATAAAAAAAAAATGTCTTCCACACACACACACACATTTACCGAGAAAACAAGAGGCACGCATGCACGCGTTCAAAGAGTAAAGGTGACTCCAGTACCAAGACCAAAACCCACTACAACAAATATTATAACGTCTTTACCTGTAACAACGGCGGCAGGAGCAGCAAACGAGAGTAGTAATAGCAGCAGACAAGTGTTAAGCAGAAATTGCACTCGGTGTAAAGAGTCGGCCAATTGCGTGAAAACTTTGTCGGATAAGTTGGGTAAAATAGATGATTTGGTTAATGAATTAAAGCGAACGGCTCATCATCATGGTTATTCTATTGAAGCTGCAAAGGTTATTATTTGTTTATTTTTCGCTCGAAAAAAATTTTTTTTTTCGTGTTTTTCCGAATTAAAAACTAAATCTACCTTCCTAATTTGGTAACTAACGAACAGAGGAGACATATAGTAACATTAAATTCTACATCATCATCATCATCATCATTATCATCATCACCAACAACAACTGCATCGGATCGAAACACACTAAATCGAGGATTAGATTTATCTAAAATTAGTTTCGAGGAATTACAGCGACTAGTCTCAGTCACCTCAAATACGCCACGACCAGCAACAACCTCCCCAAGCAGAATTGCCATCTCAGATATCACAAATCCTCCTGCAGAGATCGAGAAGATTGAGAAAATTGAGAAACCAAATCGTCCAATGACTCTTGCACGTCAAAAATCATTACGAAAAGATTCCGGATATACAAGCGATCCAGAAAATAAGCACCCCAATAGTATTAATAACCTCAATCATCATAATCCTACACGAAGAGCTCATGTGTCTCATTTTGTTAATCAAGAATAAAATTTACGCAACCTTGAGCTGATTTGTATTTATTAATCAGACATTCAATTTGGCAACAAAATACTTGGTTTTCGTGAGAATCATAATCGAATTTCCGATTTTGCGAAAATTACAATTTTGTAACCACTATTTTTTCCTAAGCCATGTAACAATGTATGTACTGAGCTAATGTAGCTTGATCTTTTTTTTCAACTAAAAAAAAATTTCTTTTATTTCCTTTTTCTTAATCCCATTCTCTCTTCTTCTGTTTCATATTTTTTCCTTACCTTTACCTCTTTTTCTCCCCCGAAATTTCATACAAACACACACACACACATATATATATATAGTTGACTTTTCTTAC